ATATGTATGTGTATATTATTGATTAAACAAATGCAGCAACAACTCATCATTCCAAACTTTTCACCAGTAGAGCAAGTTGACAACAGGTCAACAGTTTTCCTCAGCAAATCATCTGTGGTGTGCCACACATACTTCATTCTTCAAATATTCGATTACGGTCATCTATACTTGGACAGAGAGTTAAATACTAGATCAATTACTCAAAAAAAAAAAAAAAAACTGCTCGTTTATAACTTATGTACTGTTAAGAACTTAATGTTGTGCTGCTTTTATATACTGCTCGTTTATCATTTATGTACTGTTTCACACATTATTTTATTTTTTAATACTATGCATTAGGACCAAAACTGTATTCATTACTATATCATTAGTAATATATCCATACATATCCATAGTAATCCTCAAAAGATACTTACTTGAATGTTCTCCTCCCCATTGTGTTAGCTGGACAGCGCTACATCCCTCATCCAGGCAGCCAAGAACTTGATGAATGCCGTGGTCCTCACAGTCAAGGCCTCTTATGTGGCTTCTACCAAGTACCAGAAGGTGTACGGCACGGCGGCGGTCAATTCCCCGGTGGTGTCCTGGCGCATGAAGGCCCCGGAGAAGAAACCCCTGGTGAAGAGAGAGAAACCAGAGGAGTGCCAGACCCGTGTCAGGCGAGGCTCGCAGAAGAAACACATATCCCCCGTCCAAGCCCTCAGCGAATTCAAGGCCATGGACTCCTTTTAACTCCACACCACAGATACCCAAAACTCCTCCTCCTCTCTTTATTTCTTCTCCTCTTCTTGTTACGGCTTATTTTCTTGGAGCTGTATCTTGTTCCATGCAGCAATGTGTGTGTATGTGCCCAGTAAATGTCTGTGAGTTGGAGGGGCTTGGCCACCCACCCTCTTCGAACCAAATTTCGCTGTAAATGAGAAACAAACTCGTGAAGGAAACGTTTACAGTGCAGGCTGCGGTACAATTCATGTGGTGTTCATTCTCGCTGACTGGCCATATATACACAGAGATATTAAAGAATATAATCTATGGTATAGTAGTGTCAGCCCTAACCGAGGCAGAGGTGCTGCTTTCCTACCTAATGATTTTTATTATTATTATTATTTAAAATCAATATTACCCTTAGTAATAGGAATAACTTATGATGAAACAATTTTCTTCATGACTTAACCCTAGCTCCGCCCCTGCCTTAATTGTGTTAAATATTTTTAACGTGTTAAACTGAAAAAATAATAATTTTGACAGCACTAATATATAGGCCTATATATTATATATTTCCTTTGTCCTTCAGTGGGACAAATCATAAAACTATAAAACGCTCCAATCTTCCTTATAGTGAGATAAAACGGACCTACTAAGTGCTCGTTTATAACTTATGTACTGTTAAGAACTTAATGTTGTGCTGCTTTTATATACTGCTCGTTTATCATTTATGTACTGTTTCACACATTATTTTATTTTTTAATACTATGCATTAGGACCAAAACTGTATTCATTACTATATCATTAGTAATATATCCATACATATCCATAGTAATCCTCAAAAGATACTTACTTGAATGTTCTCCTCCCCATTGTGTTAGCTGGACAGCGCTACATCCCTCATCCAGGCAGCCAAGAACTTGATGAATGCCGTGGTCCTCACAGTCAAGGCCTCTTATGTGGCTTCTACCAAGTACCAGAAGGTGTACGGCACGGCGGCGGTCAATTCCCCGGTGGTGTCCTGGCGCATGAAGGCCCCGGAGAAGAAACCCCTGGTGAAGAGAGAGAAACCGGAGGAGTGCCAGACCCGTGTCAGGCGAGGCTCGCAGAAGAAACACATCTCCCCCGTCCAAGCCCTCAGCGAATTCAAGGCCATGGACTCCTTTTAACTCCACACCACAGATACCCAAAACTCCTCCTCCTCTCTTTATTTCTTCTCCTCTTCTTGTTACGGCTTATTTTCTTGGAGCTGTATCTTGTTCCATGCAGCAATGTGTGTGTATGTGCCCAGTAAATGTCTGTGAGTTGGAGGGGCTTGGCCACCCACCCTCTTCGAACCAAATTTCGCTGTAAATGAGAAACAAACTCGTGAAGGAAACGTTTACAGTGCAGGCTGCGGTACAATTCATGTGGTGTTCATTCTCGCTGACTGGCCATATATACACAGAGATATTAAAGAATATAATCTATGGTATAGTAGTGTCAGCCCTAACCGAGGCAGAGGTGCTGCTTTCCTACCTAATGATTTTTATTATTATTATTATTTAAAATCAATATTACCCTTAGTAATAGGAATAACTTATGATGAAACAATTTTCTTCCTTCTTCCCAGTTATCCATATGGTGACCTGATGCACTAGTTTTTGCATTTAAAAATGCATTTCTTTAATTATATTATTGTATCACTAACCATGGCAGCCAGGTTGGCTACTGTATAGTATTACATTTAGAAAAGGACTAGTTGTGTGGTTTGCTCAGAGACTAGTAGAATCCTGCATACCTTTATAGTTCTGATTCTCTAATAAACCTTGCAACTGTGTGTGTCGAGTCAAGTTATTTTCCTATCCGTTCCATTCAGCTTCATGATGGACAACAAACGACCTTTGCACCAGCACCTGATGTATTATATTTGATGCCGCAAACACATTTTCTAATTAATGAATGATACTTACTGTGTTTGACAAGCAAGATCTTCTATCAAGCTCATATCCTTCACCAAACAAGTTTTGTGTTTGCCACACGCCGTGTTCTGAAATGACTTATCTGTGTCCGTAAACATTTTTGGTAATCACAGATAAAACGTTTGCTGTTGGTTGGTAACTTTGAGATGAAAAATAAGCACCGGTTTTAATAATTTAGTCTGATTGAATACTTACAATTTAAAGTCAGCATGAAATGAAAATTCATCATATCTCTTTTCTGAATGCATGTTATAGATTTTATTGTGAACAACTTATGCATATGTTTTTTTTTTTTTTTTTTAAGAAAATACCTCGTGATGTTAGTTTCTCTGGTGACATATAAAGGACTTTTCCAATCATTTAGTCCACTTAAATCCACATTCACACAACAACAATGTACTACAAAAATGGAAAAGTTTTTCCTTTGCACTTTTGAAATATTTGTGTATAGACAACGTTGTCAAAACGATTTACAGATCTGTGAAAAACTACTAAAAACACTACATTATGCATGCAAGGCCAGCAGTTGTAAAGAAACTTGTGCATACCTATAGACTGAAAACATACAGTATGCCCATAACATCGTGTTAAAATGTTTCTATTTCAAAAGCCCCCAAAATGCTGTTGTCGTGTAAATGAATGGCAAAAACACATACAAATTTTTCTGGTTTTAGTTGAAAACGGTGTCGTATAAACGCCCTCTTAATGTGCCTCCACTTTTGAGTTCAGTGCTCACATCGCAAAATCCATTCAACTACCACTATCCACTACACTCAAATGTACGTCAGAATATAGGAGATCTGTTGCTACCTCCGCTTATCACAACTTTAATCACAACAATAGTAGCAAAAAAAGCTCCTTAAAATGCATGACTTAATAAATAAAATAATAACTGTAAAAAGTCTGCAAAAATGATTACATTAGGAATGACAATTTTCAGTCAGTGTCTCAAGAGGTCCACAGTGTTCATTATTTTATGTATTTATCTCAGGGCTACAATTTGCTGAACAGGAAGACAGAAACAACATTTCACAATTTTTGTTTTTGTTTGTTTGTTTTTGATAATGTATTACATTTGTGTGTTTGTCACAATAAATACATAAATAAATAGAAACATTAGTGATATGAGTGATTAGATCTGACAGTGGGGAGTGAGTGTTCCTTTTATGTAATTATCTCAGTGCTACATTTTACTGACTAGAATAAGAGAAATAAGCTTCTGGCTCACAGTCCAAACTTTGATATTAGACAAAATATTATTTTTTTAGAACCAGACCCATTGTTTGGGCTGCATAGTTAAAATGTTCAGAGTATTATTTAAACTTGTTTACACTTTTTGGGGACATTTAAAAATGTCTCTATTGACTTACATGTTGACATGAGGTTGAGACATTTTTTTAACATCAAAAAAGTGCACACTTCACATTTAACTTTAAAGGTCGGGTGGTTTCAGAGCAGATATTATTCAGGGTTCAGTTTACCTCAACACTAGATATGAACGAAAGCAGTATAGAGATCATTACAATCAAATTCACACATGCTAAATGGCAGCACTTGAATGAGCTTCAGGCCATGATAATTCTCTTTAAAGCACTGCCATCTTATGCAAAAGGAATTTTTGAATATGCCGTTGCATATTTAATGGCCAACTTGTTTCACAGATGTTTCTCCAGACATTTGTACCTCATAAGAGTGATTCAATTACTATTTCATCAAATCACTCACATCTTTTGTTTTTATAATACAATATGCAGCTCATAGCAAAGCTTTGATGTTCAAATTAACTGCACTGTACCTACTAGTATATGAAGAGCCCAGCAGAAATGTAGACATGTCTTAAGACACACATTTTTAAGGGAAACATAACACTGGAGACTGCATTAATATCTTGGTCCAGCATCTAAAATGGAGGCCAGGCCAAATCTCAAGGCTGCTCAAGAGTCTTCCCATATTCCCTTCACAAAGTTAATTTGTATACAAGGACCATGTGAACATTTTAGAGGCAGCCTTTAAAAATACCCAGACTGCCAGAAAAAACATTGAAGTGCTTACAAGATGTTCTAAAGCTTCGGTCATGCTACAAAACAAATAAGCATGGCAGCTGTGGGAAGCGCTTACCTAAATAATCATTACCATAAATGATTGGAGTGAAAATCAGGATGAAAGGATGTTATACTGAACCACAACCTGAGCGCCGCGGACCTGACATTTACAGATCAGTGATTGGCCACAGCATGGTGTCCTCTATTTAAAACCGAAAAGGACAGAGCACTAATGCCACTAAACACACAAAGGAAGTGGAACATCCGGTTCTCATGGGCTCAGGATGTTCACTCAACCACTAGTCTTCCTGGCAAATCCTTGAGGCAACCATAGAAGCACCATTCTTCTCCCGCTGCGGACTCCAGAGCCAAATGAGAAGTATGTCACAGCCTTTCTTTGTTTAATCCATGTCTTCTTCTTCGCCCAAATGTTCTTGGCCACCTACAGTACAGTGAGTGCATTTCGAGCACATCCTCAAACGTCTAACATATTTCTGTTCTCAGTAGAACTCTGTAGTTCCTGGGTTAGAAAATGTGTACCTTTTGTTAATGCAGTTGCTCAATAACATTTCAAGAAACATTATTTGAGTTCATGTAATGATGCTTTTTCATATAGACTTTCACGAAGACCAAAGATGTTGACTGTGTTTCTACTGTGTCCTTTTTATACAATGGTACAATTTAGTAGATGCATTTTCCTAGAAGCAGGACCGACAATACTTGTTATTTCCTGTAAAGTAATCTAGAAAATTACTCAAAGTTTATTTGGAGAAAAACCTTGTCTTATAGATGTTTTTTTTGTCTTCTTGTTTCATCAGTCCAGTTGTGTTTTTTTTTTTTTTTTTTATATATATATTCATTATACAACTAAAATCTTGCTATTACAACCATTTAAGTAAGGAATAATTAACTCAGGTCCACTGAATTATTATAAAATAATATATAATTTTATCATGTACCCTGATGAAAAAATAAGTGCACTTCCAAAATATACTTAAAGTGCTCTATTTTCGTGCACTAATTTTGTACTCATTTTACTATGCTAAAAATTATTTAGTACTTCTTAAGATAAACTTAAGATCATCTAAGTGTACTCTGTGCTATTTTGGCACACCATGAATATGAACTAAAATGCACTTTTAACATACAAAAAAATGTATTTAGTTACCACTTGTAGTACACTTGAACCATCTTTCATACACTAGTACACTGAAGTGGTGTTTAATTACATATATTACATTAAAAGTGCATTTTAATTCATTTTCATGGTGTCCCAAAATAACACAGTTTAGTACGCTTACTGTAGATGATCTTAAGTTTATCTTAAGAAGTACTAAATAATATTCGTAAGAATAATGGTAGTCCAAGGCACTCGAATCTTATTCAAAAAAATTTAAAAAGCCTTTATTTCATCATGGCTATAAGTTTTAAGAACAGGTGACAAGTGCACACCTACGCGTTGCGGCTATTTTGCCTTCGTCAGGGTGTGAGTAACAAACACAATCGGAGTTCATTTTAAGCAGCAGTTAATTAGTCAAATAACAATCACCTGGTTGTTCTACACAGGACAAACAATAGAGAGGAAGTTTGACGATTACATATCAAATTAAATCAAACACAATATAATCATGTATATAAAGGAGGGAGGAAAAAAGATCACCAATATAATGCTTCCAAATCTGAATTCTTATTACAAAAAAAGGTACCAGGTCTAATTCCCCATTTAAGCCTGGAAGTTTAGTTGCTTTCAGTGTATAGATCCAAAAAGACTCTCTCTGTAAAAGCCTAT